ACAAGTCAGGGTTAGGTTATTAAAAAAATATCCAAATCTTTGATGATCCCCAGGAGCACCATCAAATCTATCATAACCAAATGGAAAGAGCATGGCACAACAGCAAATCTGCCAAGAGACGGCCGCCCACCAAAACTCACGGACCGGGCAAGGAGGGCATTAATCAGAGAGGCAGCACAGAGACCTAAGGTAACCCTGAAGGAGCTGCATAGTTCCAAATCAGAGACTGGAGTATCTGTACACAGGACGACAATAAGCCGTACGCTCCATAGAGTTGGGCTTTATGGCAGAGTGGCCAGAAGAAAGCCATTACTTTCAGCAAAAAACAAAATGGCGTTTGCAAAAAGGCATGTGGGAGACTCCCAAAATGTATGGAGGAAGGTGCTCTGGTCTGATGAGACTAAAATTGAACTTTTCGGCCATCAAAGAAAACGCTGTGTATGGCGCAAGCCCAACACATCACATCACCCAAAGAACACCATCCCCACATTGAAACATGGTGGTGGCATCATCATGCTGTGGGGATGTTTTTAGCAGCAAGGACTGGGAAACTGGTCTGGGAAACACACACACATACAGAGACACAGACACACACATACATACAGATACACAAACACACACACATACAGAGACACAGACACACACATACATACACCCGATGGGCCCCTTAACATGCGGCCCCAGGGCATCAAAATGTGGCAGCTGGTACCCTGTCGTGGGGGTCCCCCTGCAGCAGCTCAGGCCTCCCCAGTCCTCCAGGGCCATGTGATCACCATGATCACATCGCAGCAATAGGACTCTAGGAGCTGTGAGCAGGGGGACTGTCTGAGCTGTCAGGCAGTCCCCCAGGCTGCTAAAAAGTAAAAAAAATAATAATAATAATATATATATGCATATATATATATATATAGAAAAACAGAGAATGACCGTACTCAGGGACTTGTAAATATCACTAAAACTTAACTTTTAATGTTCAAAATAAATCAAATCAACGTTTCAGCCCCATATTTGGGCTTTCATCAGGATGGTAAAAACACAGACAACATGATTCAAGCTCATATATATACATAATACAACATAAACTCACCAGCCTCATGTGTGTGGAGCCAGCAGCCGCGTTCAGCTTGCACGTGGGAGTGCCGAGCAGACAGAGGCACCCAGAGAAGATAGACACAGCATTCCAAACTGTTGCTAAGCAACATCTGGAACGCGCACAAGATCAGTAGCAGGGAGAGATCGGCAGCTTTAATTATGTATATGTGTATATATATATATATATATATATATGTGTGTATATATATATATATATATATAATGTTATACATATATTATATATGTAAAATATATTATAACATAATTAAAGCATTTTATGATATATTATACATATATAATGCACATATGATTTTATTATAAGTATACTTTGAGATATATACACATATCTCAAAATACACTTATAATGAAATCATATATATGCATTGTAACGGATCGACTGGGTACCTCCGTTGAAGGATGCTGAGGTCTCCAAGCACTCCAGCCGACACCGTAACCACCGTAGACTCCTTCAGAGAGCAAGACCGGAACAAGCTCTTACAAGAGCTTAATAGTGATATAGCAAGAGAGTATGACTAGCATAGCAATCCCTTGTAGCAGATTCCCCCAATAAGAGAAGGCACTCTAAATTGAGGGTGAAGTAGAACTGAACTTTTAATCACTCTGCTTTTATGCTCATTTTACAAACATAGTACCGCCCTCAGGGTTTTGTAAAACAACCAATAAAAACATTACAACACAGCTAAACACTACCATTCATTCCCACAAAATCCTCCCCTCTGCCTGTGATATAATTACTGAACACAATGGGTTAAAGTAATTATGACAGGCAGGAAAAATATACTTTTTATACATGTACTGTAACTTTAAAAATATACATCCAATCTTCATAATATTGTTACATATTATAAATCAGCACACTCAAAATACAAACATACCCAATAATCATACAAATCCATCCAATAGTTCAAAAGTTAGCTGGAAGTCCTTTATGACCTACCGCAAGCACATTTTCATGCCCAAAACAGTTCCATAGATTTGGGCTGTTCAGTCGGTCAATTTCAGGCAGAAAAAATGACTAAGTCCCATTCGAATGCACGGACGGGCACCATTCGTGCAATTGGCTCAGTATAGCAGTACATTCAAACTGCCGAACGGGATTTAGTCTCTGCGGCTGAAAACTCAGTGGAGGAGAAGGTAAGGGTCAGCGGTGTTCGTTGAAATGTGTAGCCGATTTCAGTTCCATAGATTCAGGGGCACACACCGCTGACCACATTCAAATGAACAAAAATGGCCACCGCCACATATTTGTTTGTGTGAACGGCGGCCCCCCAACGGTCGGCAATTTACCTACAGCAGGCTCCCAGCCTGAGAGGCAAACTGATGGTACACTTCCACTTCTGGGTGGTCTGCCTGTGTGGCACTTGGTTCAGTAAGCCCCATTTACTGAACCAAGTGGGGGAAAGCCATGCACAAAGTATTTTAAAGGTTTGGGGACCCTGGGGACACAGTATTAAAGGGACATTGTTCCCAAAAGTCACAGCATGTCCCCAGATGGTTCTTAAAGGACCAGTACTAGCACAATACAAATCCATTATGCCCGAGTACGTTCTTAAAGGGCAATGCATCCCAGGGGCCGTAGTCACAGGGCAGGAGGTGGGCAAGCAGCCCCCTCCAAAAACTCAAGGCAAACTCCCTTAAAGTTTGCTATATGCATTATATATGTATAATATATTATAAAATGTTTTAATTATAATATATTATACATATACAGCAAATAAATGAGTGTGTGTGTTTATATATATATATATATATATATATATAAAAATATAAATTGAAAAAAAAAACATTTATAAAAAAACAAATAAAAGTGCTAACTTTGGCCAGCGTTTGTGACTAAGTGGCTACTACAAAAGACTGGACATACCCCATTTTGAATACCCTACATTTGAAAATGGTATGCCATGATGGGGTTATTTCACATTCCTGGGCTACCATATGGTCTCAAAAAGCAACACAGACCCAGCAATCTGGCAAACTGAATTGGGTAAGCCCTATATTGACCCTGTAACTGTCAAAAACACCATAAAGGGGTTATTTCACATTCCTGGGCTACCATATGGTCTCAAAAAGCAACACAGACTCAGCAATCTGGCAAACTGAATTGGGCAAGCCCTATATTGACCCTGTAACTTTCAAAAACACCATAAAACCTGTACATGGGGGGTATTGTTATACTTGGGGGACTTTGCTGAACACAAATATGAGTGTTTAAAACAGTAAAACTTATCACAACGATGAAATCACCAATAAGAGTGCAGTTTTTGTGTAATATAAATGCAAAAAAATAATAAAAATGCTAACTTTGACCAGCATTTGTGGCTAAGTGGCTACTAAAAAAGACTGGACATACCCCATTTTTGAATACTGTGGGTTGTCTACTGGTGCTCCTCCTACCTCTCCCAGCGCTCTTTCAGTGTTTTTTTCTCTGGCTCTGCTTCTTCTCCCCAACTCCTCTCTGTTGGTGTCCCCCAAGGTTCAGTCCTTGGTCCCTTACTGTTCTCCATCTATACTGCCTCCCTTGGTAAACTCATTAGCTCCTTTGGCTTCCAACATAATTTCTATGCAGATGACACGCAAATCTACATGTCCTCTCCTGATCTCTCCCCGTCCCTCTTGACTAGTGTCTCTGACTGCCTTTCTGCTGTTTCTAACTGGATGGCTGCCCACTTCCTTAAACTAAACTTGACCAAAACTGATATTCTGGTCTTTCCTCCCTCAAGTGTTGTTACTCCTGTGTCTATCTCTGTCAAGGTTAGGTTCCCCAACACGCTAACTATAGGACTAACAGACAACCCAAGCTAGACGTATTACCGGTCCTTAAAGTGGCCGGACTTAACATGAAGAAAAGTAAGGAGAGTAACAGAATAATCAGACGAGCCGAGGTCAGGGCAGGAGAAGGAAGAATAAATGAGAAACAAAGCCAAGGGTCAAGGAAGCCAGAAAGTACGGATAACCAGAGACAAGCCGAAGTCAGATACCAGGAAACACACTGTTATAGACAGATTACTAAATATTGCAATGCCTGGACATACACATGTTTTGGATATACTGAAGACAAAAGAAATAATATATGGGAATGGATAAGGCTGATTTCCCACTATCCACAGCCACGCCTACTCCTAACGTAACATCACGTCCACCCTTACTATGCCCTTTTACTGTAGAATTGCCTGAATCCTAATGACCCATTCCCCATACATGGTGTGACTTGTTTAAGCCTAAGATAAATTGGCTGATCAGGCTACCTGTATTAACAATGTCATCAACGATGAGTTAGCCTCTGTGGAGAAGTATCACTTCAGGTTGTCCCAAATTTTCTTCTGACTTAGGTTTTAGTACATAATAAGGCCCATAACCAGCGGCTATATGCAGCCTTGTATAGCAGGCCACGTGAAATCTATTTGTAGCAAGCAAGGCCTGCCTGACTCCTCATTCCTGTCTAACATTGTTGTCTCCTGCATAAGTGTAGATGGCTCTCCTTGGAGTAGCCTGTTAACTAAGCCTTGCTTTGTGGATACCTTCACCTGTCCAATTAATCTGCTAGTGCAGATGTCCTTCCCCCACTTGCAGGCCCCTATCACCTTATTATTTATTTTGTTCCACACAGTGAAACCTGACCAAGAGGCAAGGGTCCTAGCTAGTTCCCCCAATACCTTTACCTGAATTATACAGGCCCCAAAGCCTGTCCAAGCTCTTACTATTCCCTAACAGGTTAAGGCTCTGGTGTCGAATGGTGCCCTGGTTTCCTGAGACTTTCCATGCAATATCCCACCTCTCCTTGTAATGGACGAATTCTGTGCAGGATAGTGTCACCCTGCAGGGATGATACTCTATTTACCTGGCCACTCTTCTGCCACTTCCCAGGGGGGGAAATGATAAGACACTGACTATTATTTTTTTAGCCTTTTCCTCATGATCTGTTCCGGATTTGCTGTCACTACAGTGGACCAAGTATCTCACCTCAACAATGTCTGCACAAGAAGCTGAGCTATAGGCTCCCATCACAGCATGCAAGATCTCTGAAGGAAGACTGAACACAGAGGAAGCATGTGGCAGCTCTCTGGCTGACTAAGTTGTTCAAGAAGTTGTAAGTGCACTAAGGGAAGTGGACAGAAAAGTGTCTGCTGAAGAAACTCCCATATTCACCATGTAAGATCCTACCCACAGACATCAAGCTCCCGAAGGAATAACAAGCAGCTACTGACCCTGGAAAAAAAAAAAACACAAGCTGGAAACAGAAAGGGGCAACCCTTAAAGACAGGCTGTACTTCAACAATCTCAAGTTCTGCTTACCCAAGAACATATACTCAGCAGTGGTCCAGTGGGCCTACGGAGCATCTGTCCAGAACCCTCATGAACTCTTTTGATCAATAAATACTCTGAAGTACCAGGAATTGCCTCTCTGACCAACAGTTACTGTAAATCTTGTGCCATTTGTGCCAAGGGCAACTCAGGAAGAATGGAGGAAAGCCCCAAGCATCTAGCCAAAGCTCATTATCTCTTCCAAGAGGATTCAAGATGACTACATCCAGAATGCCAAAGAGTGGCTGGTTCAAATATGCACTAATTATAGGAGACATGTTTTCAGGATGGCCAGAGGCCTATCCAGCCACCAAAGTGATAACCAAGACCACATGCTGAGTAGTGCACCGTGAAAGTTACAGAGATCACCCCGTGGATTCATCATTCCAGAATCAAGCCTGCCTCTGTATCATGTGAAGTAGCATTTGTTGATCTTGACAACCCTTTTTGAAACTCCATTCTTAGAGCAAAGATATTTGTTTAAAAAAAACAAATATATCAACAAGTGGGTGTTTTGATGGCCATAATAATGCCTGACCACCTGCCATCGATGGAAAGCTGAATACCCCAATAGGGGACCTCGTGAAACTAAAGAGAAACAGACATACTCCTTACCCTGCAGCCCTCACGTCTGAGGTGCCTATGCACAGTCAAAGCTTCTTCAGGATCATCTGCTTATTTTAAGTTTGTGGTGATATTAATATTGAATGTTGAATGTTTAAATGATCTGAATCTGCCAGTACTAGGGTAGCATGAGACAAGATTTCTAAGATTAAGAATAAGTAAATGTGCCCTAGCCAATGTTATTATGTCCATACACATAATACATGATAATCCCCAAGGTACTCTTGACACACCACATTCATGCTTGAGGACAAAAAGGAGTACACCAATAAAGGGTGGTTTTACCCCCACATATATATATTAATGCCATAGGGGTGTCAAGGGGGGTACCAAATTATTTTAAGGTAAGAAACTAAGTTTGAATCTATTCTCCCAAGCATTACGGCTAATAAAATCTTAATTGGAAGGGAAGAGGATCATACAATAAACAGGAGACCTTTTACTTACGGGACATGTAGGACTCACCTGAATGGGTAGGTGCCACGCACATGACTGTTAATCCCCTCAAACCACACATTAGGACTTTAAAAGACATGGTAGTCATCCCATATTTGAGAATACTATGGCTGCAGAGACAGGTTTCTCTGACACTAACTTGTGGCTTGAATGGATGAAATACAATGCTACTAAACATAACAAGTCTAACTGCTATGTCTGCGGAGGAGCAAGGCCTCACCCAGGTACTGTATCCCTGAATCTTCCTCCGGATATGAAGTATGCTTTTTAAGTCTCTACACAGTATTTAAACCTAAGCGGTCAGCATGCGAGTCATGGAAAATGAATATCCATTTATTACTAAAAATATTAACCGAGACGAAGGCATTACTATATATCCAGGGAACTATACTTGTTATGGGATATATGGTGGGATAGGGCGGTTACAAGCTACCTCTAAGATGACCTTCCAGAATAGAATAAGCTTAGAGATGATTTTGGCAGGAAACGAGTGAGTATGTAAAATACTCCCAGACACCATGACATGCTGTACCTATATTCCAGATAATACAGGCCCTAATGGTAAGGTAACGTTGGCAATAGAAAAGTTAACGAGTTTGTCCAACGAGCTGAAACGAAATTCTGGGGCCACAGATCCATGGGAAAGATGGTTTGGATGGATGACTGGATGGCAAGGTGCTCTGGCCCAAATAGGTGTTGCCATTTTAATAACGATAATCATCCTCGCTCTTCTTGTTTGTTGTGTGTTACCCTGTCTTAAAACATGTCTACAAAAGACAGTTGATCAGACAATCGACCAGACCACCCCGACCTTCCTTCACCAAGAGATTGACGACATAGACCGGGATACACCACATGGACCCTTACAGTCCCACCGCATTAAATCAACAGCTACTTCCTCTTAAGGACATTCAGGGATAGTGTTTGTCTCTACGGGCAGAAGTCTGTTGCGGGAGAAGTAGTGGGCAAGCTGCTAGGGGTTATCCGCGCAGTGAAGTGTTCGAGGCCTGTTCCGACAGATGTGTAAGATAGCCTTTTGTTATTTTTCTATAGGGACAGTATTAGAGTGAGAGATAGTAGTTGCTAGTAAAATAAGCCATTTTAAGGGGGGACTGTTATGGACAGAAGAATTAAAATAAAATGGCTATTTACTAATGTCTATTTATTCTGTGTTCACTATGTTAAAACTGGCTGCTAGAGTAAATATTCCCTTCCCCCCCTACAATGTGTTCAGTAACTATTTTCTCAGCAAATTTCTCCCATCCTGCTAGCCTCCCCCCTTTCCATCGAGCAAGCCTCATGTAACAAATTCCTCTGTTAAAAGAACAGCTTCCTTTATTAAACTCCTCCCCCACTTCCTTTGTGCAAAGTAACAGCTATGTGCCATATGTAACAAAATAGAGAATCACTGTTAAAGTAACTACTACTCACTTCCCCCCTCCCATCGTGTAACCAAGATGGAGCCAAAATATGGGTGGGAGAACTCTGTAATGACGACACTACATTCTGTAGGGGGGGTTTAGACAAGACCCCTTAGACTGTTAACCAATTGTTGAATGAATACTGTATGTTAACTGTGACTCTGTACATGACGTATTTCTGCTTTAAAAGGGAATTGCACCCCCTGGAATAAAGGCCACTCTGGAGTTCTTCATAAACCTGCAATGTGTCCGGTGTGATTTACTTCCAGAAGACATACGCACAATCAATTTAGAAAGGAGTAGATAGACAAATAATCAAAGTTTTCTTTGATCTAAAACAATACAAGTATACAGAATGCAATCTCGGGCTACAATAGACCATGACAGGGCAAGGAAGTGATGTAGGAGGGAGGTATAAATAGGGTTAAGAGAGATCTGATAGGCTAGGGAAGAGAATAGGAGAGATTATAAAAGGGTTACCAGGATTGCTGCAAAAATGGAACTATCGCTTTAAGATGTCAGCGGCATGCCGCGCGTGCATGCGCACGTCCATGATCGCGCACACGCACCCGGGTGCGCACGTGTGCTGTCAGTCGGAGGCTGGCAGAGCCAGGAGGAGCAGAGCAGACAGCGGGACCGGAGCAGCGTGGGCCGCGTGGAGGTATGACAGTCTCCCTCCAAGTCAACCATCAGCTCCACCACGCAGGCTCGCTGCCTAGGTGTTCTCTTTGACTCCGACCTCTCCTTCAAGCCTCATGTTCACTCTATCGTCAAATCCTGTCATTTCCATCTCAAAAACATTGCGCGCATCGGCCCCTACTTAACGCCAGATGCGACTATGTTGTTGGTCCATTCCACTGTCCTTTCTCGCCTTGACTACTGTAATGCGCTTCTCAGTGGTCTTACGTGCTCCCAACTTGCGCCGTTACAGTCCATAATGATTGCAGCGGCGAGGCTCATCTTCCTGTCCGCCCGCACCTTCCATGCCTCACCCTTCTGTCAGTCCCTACATTGGCTTCCTATAAAATATAGAGCTCAATTTAAAATTCTGGTTCTTGCTTTCAAATCTCTACATAATGCTGCTCCCACCTATCTATCCTCCTTTATACACAAGTATGTCACGTCTAGGCCCTTACGATCTGCTGTCCGTCTATCTTCTGTCCGTACTCCCACCTCTGATGCTCGCCTTCAAGATTTCTCGAGGGCTGCACCGTTCCTGTGGAACTTGCTTCCCTCCTCCATTAGATGCTCACCCAGTCTCCACTCCTTCAAAATATCGTTAAAAACCCACTTCTTCATAAAAGCGTATCAATTAAACTGTTAATAGCTCCTGACTGATTCCTCTTCTGCAACTTTTACTAGTCTAATACTATCCTTACCTTTTTGTGTCATTTTACCCCACTCCCTCTAGCATGTAAGCTCATTGAGCAGGGCCCTCAACCCCTCTGTTCCTGTGTGTCCAACTTGTCTGGTTACAACTACATGTCTGTTTGTCCACCCATTCAGGGCCGGCGCGTCCATAAGGCGGCACAGGCGGCCGCCTTAGGGCGCACCGGCACTGGGGGCGCAAAATCCCAGTGACCGGCAGGAGGGAAGTGCTCCCTCCTGTCAGGTCACCTCCTGGATCCCCGCGGCTGAATTGGATTCCGAGGTGGCGAGGGAGCTCTGATCTCTCTGATCTGCTCCAGGTAGGGAGGCTGGGTGGGAAATTTAAATTTAATTTAGATTATTAATTACTGTGAGTGTGTCTGTGAGTTTGTGTGTGTGTGTGTGTCTGTCAGTGTGTGTCTGTCAGTGTGTCTGTCAGTGTGTGTGTGTGTGTGTGCATGTGAGTGTGTGTGTCTGTCAGTGTGTGTGAGTACGTGTGTCTGTCAGTGTCTGTGAGTTTGTGTGTGTGTGTGTCAGTGTGTGTTTGTCAATGAGTCTGTCAGTGTTTGTGTGTCTGTCAGTGTGCGTGTGAGTGTCTGTCAATGAATGAGTTTGTCAGATAAGCGAGTCTGGCTGTCAGAGATGTCTGTGTGTTTGTCATTGAGTGTGTGTGACTGTCAGTGTTTATACACCCCTGACTGTAGCGTGGCCAAGCGGAGTGTACCGTGGTACAGGAACTTCTGTTTCCTGTACCTGACAGGACTGACAGGAAAAGCTCACTGTACCGGGATTCGCTCCGCTCAGCCACGCTACAAGAAAGGTAGGAGGCACACCAGGAAGGGGAGGGGACCACTATGGGGGTGGGTGGCGCACCAAGGGACATGGAGAAGAGGGGAGAGATACCCTAAGGTACAGGAAAAGGAGGGAGGGGGAGAGGAACACTAAGCGACAGGGAACAGAGGGGGGAGGGGAGAGGAACACTAAGGGACAGGGAAAGGAGGGGGGAAGGGAAAGGAACACTGA